CAAAAAAGTACTCCAGAGTGTTGTTCAGCATGGGGGTGAGTAGAAAATGAAGGCTAATCATGTTTTGGGTGTACTATTCCTTTAAGCTCAGAAAAAGCTTTTATTTTGAAAGGTTATCCAAAAACTCTTGTCAGTGTGTTTAAAAATGGTTGCACTTGACCTTGTTTGGGTGCAGCACTAAGCTGGCTCAGAGGCTCAGGGAATTCCTGCTGGAGCAGTTGGATAACTTTCTCTAGAAAGGAACCAGCAGGAGGGATGTTTAGTGATGAGGTTTTATTCAAGGCTGCGTTCAGTGGACAGTTAGTGCCTTCAATTAGTGAACAAACTCAAACATGTTTCAATCAAATAAAATGCTCCAGAGGTTGGTAGAGTTCAATGGCCTAAAGATTTACTCAGTAAGTATAGAATTACATATAAATTCATTCATATTGAGAAAGCACCCCCACCCCAATAACATAGAAGAATAGACCTATCTAGTAAATGATAATCCAAATTATTATCTGTTTTTTTTTTTTATTTAATTAAATTTGTGAATAATTCAATTTATAATTTGATTAAATTCTGATATTGTAAGTATCAAGTTGCTCAATCACTCTTTATTTTTTAGCACTTTTTCACATAGTTAGGTTCAATCAATGTTCTTAAAGAGGTAGAAGTTTATACCTCATATTTACCTGACATCCAGGTGTCAGACTCAACAGATGGAAAACTACATTAGCTTGTTTACAAACAGCACGTCTGTTGGCATTACTGCAGAAACCTTGATATTGAGGTAAGTACATAATAGCGTGCAGTAAAAGCAGGTTACTCCTGGAAGTTTTTAATGAAAAAAAAAAAATGTTATTCAATTAAATTTAAAAGAGTAAATGCAACTGTTTTACCCACCTCTGCTACTCCTATGGCTGGTGGTTTTGCAAACCATGGGGAGTGGCGGCCTAGAGGTTAGGGCATAGAGCTTGTAATCCTGAGGTTCTGAGTTTGAGCCCCACTCCCACAGACTGCCACACTGCTCCCTGGGCACCGCACAATGGCAGCCCACTGCTCCCCAAGCGGATAGGTTAAAAGAAAAGTCCGGTCACATTCAAAATACAAACTTCTTGAAAACATTCTTCTTCCAAATGTTGGCTACATATTACGGTTTTTTTCTCTGGCCAGAAGTTCGATGGCAAATCCTCCCTCTTCAAGTTGGCGATCCAACGACCAACCCGTCCGTGGAGGATCAGGAATCAGAAAGGTGAAATAACACATTTTTTTCCTCACTTTTACCCAATGTAATCCAACATCCAGCTGCCATGCACGTGGGCATTGTTCTTGCATAATTTTTATATAATATATCTAAAAATTAT